CAACACAGTAACCATAACATTTAGAAAACATTCTCTTTTAATGCATTTCAGAAATTAAAAGTCACTGCAGCAACTTTGACGTCTTGCCTGTTCTTGGCATCTTCTTCCTTTAATTTTTTCTTCTGCTGTAAAATGCTGCTCAATTGGATTTTAATCTGGAGATCGGCTTGGCCAGTCTAAGACATTCTAACATTTTTTCTGATAATATATAATATAATGTTTTTTAGCTCAAGAGAGCCATGTATGATATTATCTCCTCTTTGCCTCTCAGGTGAGCCAGTGTTTTTGGAAGATTTGCAATTTCTTTTTTCTTCACACCCTAACTTCTCCATCACTTTGGTAGAGGTCTATCTTGGTCTCATATGTCCATTAAACATTATTCCAATGTTTTGTTTTAGTGTTTCCAACCAATCAGTACTACCGTAATAGGTTTAAATCATGTGATATATCCTTCTGCTGTCTTACTTTTCTAGGAACTTTGGTTTTAATAATATTAACTTTTATCTATAAAGCGACTTTCCAAACTCAAAGATGCTGTACATACTGAGTAAAGAAAAAGACAAAAAAAGTACCAAAGAAATAAATAAACAAGAGCATACAGGTTTTTATTGATGTGAGCGATCGGACGTAAACCTGGAATGTGTTGACGAGCTGCTGAGGAGGCAGCTTCAATTCGAAAGAAACTAACAGAATTTCTCAACAGCAAATCCAGACTTTGCAAGAGCTTCATTTAGATTATAGGAAAAAACAATTACGTTACATTACAGAACTTTTCTATTAGAGGTCCTTAAGGGCTGATGTAGAAAAGGCTTAAATTGGTCATACCCAGATCTTATTTTACATTAATTTTACATTTGAGAAGAGGTGGAAGGATGGAAAACATTTTAAGGAAGTCCAGTAGGAACTGAGGGTGTGAGGTGCAAATATAGATAGAGTAGTATTTTACATCAGCTGGAGGTAGTGATGGAAAGGGCGATACAGGGGAATACAAGATCTGAATAAGGAGGACCTGGATGGGGATCTTGTTAGAATCCAGGGATAATATCCTAAACTTTGAAAACATGAAAGAGAAATCAGAAATATTATTGAAATTACATACAGGGATGTGAGCTGCACCAATTAGAAATTATTCTTAAGAGAAAGCCTTTGGGATGACTGAGGAGTTTCATGATAAGTTTAGAAGATGTTTCTTTGTAAAGTATAAATGGCAACATTATATGAATTAATAAGCATTCATTGTTTCCAATTGTGGCCCCAAAAGAAGCATCTATGAAAACTGGAAACTGAATAAAGAGGAGCAATGATAAGAAGGAGAGAGCTGCAGCTGTAAAAAACTTTTCTGAAAGAAGATTCATCATAAAAAACAACTCATTCCATTTTTTAAACTAAGCACCACCACCAAGTTTTACCTCAAATTGCAAAGTAGGAGTGGGGTAAGGATCACACTAATGATGCAAGTTTGAGAAGATGTGAACTAAAAGGTATAGCCTGCATGGCATAGTTTAGGTGGCCCAGCAGAGACAGAAGTTCCTTACGTGCAAAATGTAACTGTCAGCAAGGTGGGAAAATACAATGGGATGCAGTCACGAGGAAGGTAGGATACCAGTCAGAGCTGGGGCTGAAGTGATGGCATCAGGAGCAGCAGGGGCTCTTTTTGAACTTTTCTGCGTGGCCCGATGAATGTGAGGAGAGGCTCAGTCGGTCAGCAGGCCGACTCTTTGTACCTGATTAGATTACATCATCAGGTGATGCACAAGTTTACTGGAACCCCAGGATTTGTTTGTTGGACACCTTTGATAGGTAAAAAGCTGCAACTCTCCTAGTTGTATATCGTGATCAGATTTTGGGTTAAAGGAGAGTATGATGAGGGTTTTGCTAAATCCAGTTAACAAAGGCAGGAAAGGTCTCATCCACTTTAATACATGATCTGCAAACATCACACTACGTTTGTGTTCGTCCAGAGCAGCCTGAGTTTGCAGGAGAAATAAAAGAAGGGCTGTGAGGCTGGATTTTTTTATGGTGACTGGATGACAATGGCAAATTCCGGTCTTTGGAAAGGTGTGGAATCTTTGAAAGTGACTGGGGGATAAGGCTGGATGAGGTTAAAAAACGAATGACTGAGATGGCAAAACAGCAGATGAAGCACCTGCAGGTACAGGGAAAACGTGGATTATGATTGAGATCCAAAAATATTCATTGGAACAGCAAGCTGGAATATCCATTGCAAAGTGAAAATAAACAGCAGTGTTAATAAAGGTAGGGAAAAACAGAGTTGCAGAAAGATGCATCTCAATGAGAGAAGGGGATCGTGTACAGTATTTCTAGTATTTTAGCTGCGATGATGTCACGAGTGATTGTGAATGACTGGCAGCTGAGACTGAATTGGTGCTACAGCTATTTAATAGCTCTGAATTTTAAATGTATTTGCATCTTTCGATACTGTGTTGATGATTAAAATACTGAAGGAATGGAAATGGTTATAATCCCTCCCGAACTTTCATTATAAACTCCATTTACTGATACAACATTGTTCTTTTGGTCCCAGCAGTTAACCCATTTCCTGTCACCATTTACCAAAGGGACACAAACCCACCTAGTGCACAGATGAAGAGCTCTGGTAACTCCTTTGTAAGCTGAGGGTCTGAGTCAAAAAGCCAAAGAACTCAATGGTCATTGATTATTAATTTGGCTCAACCTTTTATCAAAAGTGACTTCATATGCACAGTCTGCAACTGTACTGTAAGCAACTGTGTTGCTAAAGGGTACAACAGTAATGCTCCTCCTGTGATCTGAACCCACAACTTACCAGTTATTAGTCCATTGCATGGATTATTAGTTCAGTCCTGCATAGATGGTGCTACAGCTATTTAATAGCTCTGAATTTTAAATGTATTTGCATCTTTCGATACTGTGTTGATGATTAAAATACTGAAGGAATGGAAATCTAAAAGATTTTAATTCATTAACAGTCAGTTTAATGCCCTGCCACATGCTAGTGAAGTAATCAACAATGCTCAGTCTTAGTTGCAGTAAAATACTGCAGGGCTGGATGCTATCGTATGCTAAAGAGGTGTTCTAAGCAGTAATCATTCACTTTGACATTAAACAGCTTTCACTGTTTATTTTCAGCTTCTGTGTGTTATGTCAGATAATAATCAACTGTTTCCATATAGTTCAGATGGTAATATAATGATTTACACCTTAACAGCACTTAGTGCTGAAAACCACAACTTCCTGCAGTGACTATGGTTTTACTTTTGAAAGGTTAAATGGTATCAAGGCATGAACTAAATTCACTATTTGCAACAGATTACTTTTAACAGGAGTGGAATTTGGAAGATACGCGGTGCTTGTACACCACAACAGCCTTAGTTTGTGACTAAGAACCAAATTCAGGCTCAGAGTTCTCACTGATCTGCTATCACGTTTCTTGTGCCTCAATGGATTAATTACTGGTTATTTGACTCACATGTTCCAAGAGTCTGACTTTTAGACTTTGAAGAACACAAAACTAATGTTGTATTCTCTTTTTCACGCAAGAAGTTTCAACTATATAACAAATATAAATAATTGTAAAGGTTGGAACTTTACATTTAAATGAAATATTACATTTGTGATACTGAACATTATCATTGTGAGACAGGTCATGGTCAGAACCCTTTAGCCAATATCTGTTTTAGTCTTAAAGTAGGAGTTATCTAACTTGTGCATAAACTTTGGGACACCACATTGCTCGATCCGCTCAAACTGCTTTTTAGGAACTTTGCTATCACAGCTCACCAAAGATATGAAAAGGATCCTTTAAACCATAGTTGTATAATGTCTTTATGACCTTTATAAATGTTGATTTCCAAAGCATTCCAATTTGACACTTCTGCTGAATATTTGCCTCTAGATCAGGTTAGGGATTTGCAAAACACATTGAATATTCTTACAGGCTAAGGTAGTGAAAATGGAGGTGTCTGTAGGAGTCTAGACACAATGGGTAATACCTACTGTAACCTAGTGTTGCTCCACTTCCACTTCTATTTTCCAGAGCTTCAAACCAAGAGATGTTTACTTAGTTGTGCTCAGTGTGAGATATACCGGTCAAAATAATCTTCTGGTTTACCTTAGTTATTTAAGTTCTGGGTAAATGGTTAAGTGTCAATCAACAGTCCAGACATATGAGATCAGATCAAGACAGAGAAAGGAGGGAAAAAAGAGAAGACCATGAGGGAAATACAGCCTGCAAGAGAGAGATGAGACAAGAGCAGACAGAACTTAAAGCATGTGCCAGGCAAAAGTTCCTCGTTCGACAACATCCAAAAACCAAAACCAAAATTCAAATACTTTGTTTCATCCAATTGAAACAAAGTATTTGAATCTTTCTAAAGAGAGTTACTGTAGCTATGCTGTAATTTGTAGGGAACTTGGTGTTCCTGAGTGAAGAATTTGTCAGTTTAGAACTGCCTCTCCTGCTTAGTGGGTGCATTTTAGAATAGGGAGATAGGCTCCGGGATATAATTTTGTGGCGTCCGGGTTAGAGAAAGACAGATTTAACTGTAGGTTATATTCTATTTAGTTTAGAAGTCAGTCTTGGGTGCCAACAGAAAACCTCTCCTGCGCATAGTCACTGTCTCGACCCTTCTCAAGAGTTCACCTCATTTAGTCTTCCTCACTAACAGTCAAGTGCCTGATTGATCTGCCACTTCATTCTCCACTACTATGTACCATTTACAAGTGCCTAAAATTGAATTGTCTGATTAGTAATATTAACGTCACTGTAGCACTTCACTGTATCAGTAATATAGGTAACAACAAACCTGACTGCTGAGCTTGGATGAAAAGTGGACATTGGAAAAAGTGACTACCCTAGTATATAAATACAGCAAGTAGGCTTGAGAAGTTCTGTAAAGCCTGTGCACTCTGATAATCACACCACGTGGTTATGGTGGAAAAAATAGCCCAGGCAGCAGGAAATGAATGTGTCAAGACATTTTCTCAGTATCTGATAAGAACAGACAATGCTCTGCTGGATCACCAGTGGTTTATCTAAATGTAGGAGAGCCTGGCTGACTCGGACAGTTGCCTTGTAACAGTTTGGTGAGCACTGAAAGTCTTGGGACTGTTGAAGACATGACAGAGAACTGGATAATTAAGATTTTATGCTACTTTGCAGCTCTGAGTGTGGTGATTCATGGTAAGCCCATGTCTTTCTCAATATCCCAGGTGTATCTAAGATGTATATTGAATTCTCAGTTACTTTTTGAGTTCCTTTGAGTTTTAACAGAGCATTAAAGACTTGTGATTTTCAGACTGGATTTAAAATGTTACTGTCAAGTATTTTGTTATTTTATGTTGGATTCTCATTAACAAAACATTTTTGACTTAGTATATTTTAAGTATTTGAGGTGCATGAAACATCTCAGTAAATCAATATGTATATCAAAGCTCAGTGTCCCATAAAATTTCCTGATTCTTCACAATGACATTTTAGAGGAATGGTCACAAACCAGAGGGGACCATTTGACCCATCTAGCCCATTTGGTAGTGAGAAGTTAATTGATCTGAGGAACTCATCCAGAAGCAGAGGGTATCAGCTTTACAATATGCCTGGGCAACTTGTTCTACCCTCCCCTCAACCCTTTGTGTAAAGTCCAATGTTTTGACTTTTTCAGTGACTTTGATGATTTTGAAAACTTGTATGACTTCCCCTCATAGTTTCCTCTGTTTGAGACAGTTATTTCAGAAAGTCAGTGTAGGATATCCCTTAAAGGCCCTTAATACAATTGTTTGCTCTTTACTGGACTGATTCCAGAGCACCATCATCTTTATTGTAACCTGGTAACCAAAAAATTAACATTCTAAAACTCTAGAATATTAAAAATATAGCAAATTCTAAATGAGGCCTGTCTAGTGCATTGTACAATTGTAACACGGTATCCCTTAATTTGAATTACATACTATTGGCCAAATAGTATGTTAACTAACAGTTTGTTTGCCTTTTTTTGCTTCCCCATATTGTCTGGGAAATGGAAATGATGTGTCAACATAAACCCTGAAGTGTCTTTTTGTTTTTCAAAAGTAGCTTCATTTAGCTCAAAGCTTCCCACTTTGTATTTATTGTTTTTTGTACTTGCAAAACTCATTGAAAAACTTGCATTTTTCTACATAAAAAATAATCTGTCAGGTGTTTGACCAGTCTTGAATTTTAGCTAAATGTTTTGGATTTTCATTTGCAGCTTATACAGTGCTTGCTACTGTATTTAATTATCATTGTGAGACAGGTCAGGTCAGGTCAGGTATCATCTGATAAAATTACTAGTTAAATAACTACACCAGAATCTATAACAGAAATATAAATTAGGGAAACAGCAGAGGTCCTAGTAAATATCTGTGTGGTACTCCACTATTTACATCACCACAATTTGAACCTTCATCCCTCATCTACACCCTCTGTTTTTATGTATTAACCATTTTAAAACAAATGCATACATTTCCCTTCCTGTTGTGAGTTTTAAATACACTTCCAAACAGTTTTCACTGGTGTCCCCTGGTTCATGTTTCACTCTTGATTCTGAAGACGTCCACTTGATCAACTTTGACTAATACTGATTTCCCTTGTAGGCAATGCTGCTAATGTCACTGAAGAAAAGCTACAGTCAACACCCATAACATCAACTAAACCATTGGGAGTAATGGGTAATCTTTCATTCCATTCACATGCTTTTATTTGCAGTATCAGTCATATACAGTACAATGTAATGAATTTGCCCCTCAAAAGAAAAAAAGGTTATGTTTATAAATTTATTTTAATGGGAAAGTAGAATATGATATAAGGTAATTCATGACAACAGAAACTAAATGAAGTAATTTCAGATTTAAAAAATAGGGACTGTTTTAATGAGAAAGAAAACAGCCACATTACATTTACACTGACAATTTGCATTTACATTGCCAACCAAACATATTGGGATAGCAATTTGTATTTGTGATTATTACATCAATACAAAGCAATATAAATGAGTACAATATTTATTTTATTATTGGCAATTCCAGGCATACTTGTGACCATTTCACAATAAAATCAAACTTGCTGTTCAACACAGTGAGCATAACAACTAGAACACTTTCACTTTAAATACGTTTCAGAATGTAAAAGTCATTGCAGATATTTTGACTTCTTATCTGATCTTGGCATGTTTTGCCTTCAGTTTTCTCTTCAGCCTGTAATATACTACTCAATTAAATTTAAATCTGGAGATGGATCTGGACAGTATACTATTTCTAATATATTTTCCTAATGAACTTAAGTGAGCTATGCATTACATTACCTCCTCCATTACCTCCAAACTCCTCCAGTGTTTTTTTGGGGCATCTGCAGTTCCTTTTTTTCTCCACACCCTAACTGTAACGGGAGCCAGTCCAGGCTCC